GGGGGGGGGGGGGGGGGGGGGGGGGGGGGGGGGGGGTGCGGGGATTCAAAGGGAATTCATTTCTGTTGTAAATGAATCTTATATTGTCTTCAGGCTTTGTAATGGTCATATGATTCCACCTTAGGAAGGAATCCTTATCCTTCCAACATTCAGAGTTTCTCTGCCATTGGGCTGGAAGGGATGGTAGGGGATCGTGGTGGGCCCTCCCTGCCTCATCTTGTGAGACGATCCGCGGGGGATGCTTTCATCCTCCTATAGGGGAGGAAAGATAGGGCCCNGAGGCATTGGTACAAACATGCTCTAGGATCTCAGGGAAGCCATTTGGTTTAGTGGTTAAACACAGACTAAGACCAAACTATCGGCTCTGCTGCTCACTAGTCATATGACCTTGGGCAAATAAGTTTTCTTTTCTTCTTTTTTCCTTTTTGTCTTTTCTCGTGACCGGTAACGGGATCGCAACCCTCGGTACCGCGACCGGCAACGGGATCGCAACCCTCCGTGTCGCGCCCGCACCGCGCTCAACCAGTGAGCGGACCGGTCTCTATATGGGATCCGAACCCTCGGCGGGAGCGCTGCCATGCTCCCAAGCGCTGCACTCTACCGAGTGCGCCACCTGGCCGGCCCGGCAAATAAGTTTTCTGCCTCACTTTCCTTATCTGTAAAGGAGAGAGATTGAGAGTGCCTACTTCACAGGGCACTTATGAGGACTGAGTGAATCAATGCCTGTAAAGCCCTTCTCCAGGGCACCTTGCACATCTAAGCACTTCTTTATTTAACAACTAGCTGATGGCTTGCTGTGTGCAACCCAGGTTGAAAATGAAGTGCATGTCAGGTGACAAGGCCTTCCCCTTCCCCCTGCCATCTGGGCCAAGTTCTTTCAAACTTCTACCACTGCTGAAAGAAAGTTAGGGGCTATGCAAAACGGTCTGCTGCCAGAGGGGGACGGGCAGTGTCAAGGCATGTTTATGGGCTCGCTAGCCTGACCCAGACCCTGACTGCCTACAGGATGGTTGGTGAGTCATTGCCACGGAGGCCATGAGCCCTTGGGTCCCTCACTCACCTTCACCTCAGAGAGGACAGAAAAACTCAACTTACCGCATGCTGCAGTACACCAAGCTGGGACTACAGGTTTGGAGTTTTCTTGGGGATATTTTCATCTCTCCCTAACTCAGTGGGTGGAGTTGAGCTGCTGTGATCTAGGACAGCTGACCCACCAGCCCTTCTAGATCTGCGGAAGTCCGGCCAAAAGGAGGACACAATACCACTTGCGTGCTTTCTGAGTTCAAAGAGACTTGAAGTCAAGGAAATGCATCTGAGGTCATCATTCAGTGTACATCTAGTAAGCATCCTGGAAATAGTCTGCCTGGACAAGAAGGAGCTCCAGTGGGCATGGGAACATGGTGGAGCCAGACCAGGATTAAAGGCAGTTTGAGAGGCCATCCATTAGGACTTGGAGGGAGCAGGGGAGAGAACATCCAGGAAAGAGAAGGTAGGGGCCTTCTACTAAAAGAGAACTACCTCCTCTCTCCCCAGCAGTCCGGTCCCCATCCCCAGATGAATGAGGTAATAATAATATCTGCAATGCAATTGCATGCTTACTCTGTATCAGGAACAGTTTCAGAGCTCTGCATGCATTATCTCATGTGACAGTAAACCTCTGATGAGGTACTTCAACCTTATTTTACAGACAAAGAAACTGAGGCACAGAGAATGAAGCAACAGTTAAACCAGTGAAAAACCTAACAAATTTCAAGATTCTAAGTGCTTTTTTCCCAGATGCCAGTAAGTGCAGAGGAACTATGATAGCCCAAGGTGTTAACTCCTGTTTGCACTCATGTTAACACATTTACTTCCCCCTTCTTTCCTCCTTATTTTTATGAACTCCATTGCTTTTACAGCCTGTATTTTAAGCCTCCTCAAACCCTGTTGGAATGGGAAAGGGCATTGCTAGGAGACTTGTGTCTGAGACCGGCCCCAGTTTCCCCAGAGCAGGAAGAGGCAGGAAGCCAGAGTACATGTCCTCTCCAGAAATAAAGTTGATAGTGTCCTGACCATGTCCTGGAGTCACTGAAAATTCTGTTCTCTTGAGACTTCTCAAAAATTTAAGCCTGTCTTGCAAGTCAAAGCCCACCTATAGGCAATTCTTACAGGAAATAGGTTCAAAATAGCATTTCAAGCAAGGAGCACACGTCACCACCATCCCTTTCCCACCTGCTTTGAATGTGGCTGGCCTCTCTGTCTTCAGATATTTCCCATTTCCTCAGTTGCCATCAAACAGGACTGGGCACCTAGTATCCATGGCTGTGCTGCCACAAGGTCCTGGGGAAGCTGAGGACCTGGGGGTGGGGTGG